TCGTTGTCTAAGCCAACTTTTGTGCTCTCCTCCTTTACCCACATCAAGAGACTCTTTAGTTCCTCTTCACTTTCTGCCATTAGAGTGGTATCATCTGCATATCTGAGGTTGTTGATATTTTTCCCGACAATCTTAATTCCAATTTGAGATTCAGATATAGGGTTAAAGCTCTATTAAAAAGAGGGCAATTTTGAAAAAGCCTTCCTTGAGTAGCTTTTTCTGCTCAGGTCATAATTTCTGCCCATTCTAAACACATTCCAACCATCAAAATCATGCCTGGACACCTCATTTTTCTAATCCTAACCCAGTGATGGTGAACCTTTTAGAGACTGAGTGCCCAAACTGCAACCCAAAGCCCACTTATTTATTGCAAAGTGCCAACACTGCAATAAAACCTGAAAACAGCCTGTCCAAGCCATATATATACGTATCCTTGGCAGTTCACTGACTGGCCAAGCGAAAGCTCGGATGAGTCACGGCTAATGTGTTGCAGCTTGTGACATGATTGCCTGGCACTGCTACTCCTTTCTGAGCATGCAGTAGCCCCTGTGTACGCTGTTATCCAATGCTCGGCTGCTGGGGTGACTTGGCTCGTGTGCCAACAGAGAGAGCTTTGTGTGCCCACTGTGGCATGTGTGCCATACGTTCGCCACCACTGTCAAAGGGCAACTTGTTTAATTTTGCCACTATACCTTACACATGGGGAGTTTTGGTTTATACTTTTCTCTTTGGCATTCAGTCTTGACTAGCTGTGCATCTTGTGTACCACAGTAAATTACTTTAGTTAAAGTCCTGGACCTGACAAGGCAAAGTTGAAACTCCTTTAGCATTCTTGGTCATTTGAAGGTAAAAACATGAATATACTTAAGCCTTAGTGTTAGGTAGGCTGTTCAATGTATGGCTCTATTTCTTATTTTTTTTAAATGGTACTGCAATAGTTTACAGGCATCCCTGAGTTAAGAATGTCCAAGTTACGAACAACCTGTTCTAATGAATGAACTGCTATAAAGCCTATTAATTTTTAAAAATTACTGTGGAAAATTGTCATCACCAGAGAGAGAGAGAGAGAGAGAAAGAGAGAGAAAGTGAAAGGGGAAAGTGGGAGAGCTTCCAAAGCATCACCATAGGGCAAGTGGAAGTGCAAAGGCGGAGGGAGCATGCCTTCCTGCCCCGCCCACCCGGAAAGGGGCATTGGTTTGTCATTTCCCTGCTTCAAAGTGGAGGCACTGGTGCGTTTGGGCGAGGGGGCTAGAGATATTTGTGGATTTTGCACTTTCAAAGGGGTCCTGTACCCCTAACTCATGCAACTGAAAAATGAAATCCTGATTTCTCAGGAATAGAACTTGTTTGTAACCTGGGGACTGCCTGTAATTGAAGTCACCATTGCAGCCTCTTCATTGACTAGGATGCATGTATTCAGTGCTCTGAGTTCCACTCTCTTCCTACTTCAAAGTTGCACACAAGAACACTATCAGAGGTTTTTATTATGCTAAACTGCCAGCAAGCAAATTTGTATATAGGTTACAAAGTAAGTAACCATCGTGAGGCTTTTGCAAAGGACGGCATATAAATATCCTAAATAAATAAATAAGTGTTCTGCGGAAAATAACGTAAGTAACAATCTGTGTTAGCTTTCTGTACAGTCAGTTCATTGATGCAATGTGATCTAGTTGAAATTTGAATTCAGAATAATTAATTTGATTAATTAAAGTCTGATGCCTTTTCCTTCCCAAAAATTGAAATCTCAAACTCAAATCTTCAAGGCAGTTCCTTATTTCAGAGTCAACTTCTTAGAATGTCTCACTCCTTATCATTGTTTTTTCTCCTTAATTGACCTGAATCTTGAATCTGTAACAGCCATTTCCTTCTCCTGCTCACTTTCAGAAAAGCTCTTGTTTCCCATGGTTTCAGGAATAGCTTGATGCTTTCCTCTCTTATCTCTGTTCCTTCTATTCTTGGCTTTTCATTTTTCATTTCACCTTTCCTGATTCTCCATCTGAATCAGAATCTATTCCTGTATCCTAGGGCTAGTTGTCTCCATCCCTGCACTGACTATATTGCTATTGCTAGGGCCTGGCTGCATGTCTTTCTGTAACCTCATAGTGTCATAGATTGAGAATATTTAATTTTGGTATTGCAAACTGTGGTCTGTAACTTGTTCAGCTACCAGGACCCATCATTAATGTGAAACTGAAACATAGGACTCACTTTTAACTTTTTACCTTGTGTGTGCCTGGCTCATTTCCCCCTTTGTCTGTTCTCTGTTAAGTTTTCTCCTTATCATAGAAAAGTAGCTCTAAATAAAAAGAGACAAGTAATATGTCACTAGTGTGACTTAGTTCAGGTGAATTTATAACCCACCTGTGTCCTCCAGCTTGCAGGCTAAAAACCAGTTCTTCTTAAGGAAATGGCCTACAACATTTGAAAGAATCCAGTTGATGAAGGATTGTGTAGTCATTGCAAGATGTTCAGTTGTGACAGGGGAGCATGGGCCTTGCTGATTTTAACTGATGTTCACAAACTATTAAATAGTCAGCACTTGTACATGAGAGTGGCCATGATAATAGAAATACAGCCTTGAGTAGCAGTCCCAACCATGTATTATCAAATCACAATAACAGAAAAGGCTATGTTTATCTGCTTGTTGAATATCAACAGAGGTGGTCCACTTCTCCTTGTAAAAATTGTCATTGCTTCATGAGGAACCTTTTTCAGCTGCCTGAAAGTTGTTTATAGGTCTGTTGTTCTTTTCCTTTTCCTTTTTCTCTAATTGTGTTGGATCCCAATTTAAGGATGATAATATGAAGTGGTTTAAATCTAGTATTATATGAATTGAGTTTTTTCTTTTCTTTCCTTTCTCTGCAGCACTCCTTGAGCATCCCATATCTGCTCCAGAGGGTCCCCGACCCTCTGGAGCAGATGTGGGATATGTGCTGAGTCAGATCCAGACTGTACAGGGGAGGGGAAATCCTGTCTGCCAGGAGTTTCCACTGGCAGAACGCCATTGAATCCAAGCCTATAAGGCAAGCAATCACTTGGGTTTTGCTTTGTAGTTATAACTGGAAAGGCTTTGACAGTTTTAAAACAACTGAAATAATTGAAATCTTCTGGACTGTTTCAAACAACAGCAAGTTAAAGGCTTCAGAGGTTGGAGCACAGCCTTGGACCACCTTCTATCAGTTCCTGTCTGTATTATCAGTGCAGTACACCAAACCATCTTAGAATAGAGTTTCAAGAATGGGTTGCTTTTTAAATGCTGTTATTGAGAACTTGTATAATATAGTGTTAAAGAGATGGAGGTATGGATTGAAATGTGTTAGAGCTGCCCTTTGAACAGCTGGTATAAACCAGACAAAATAACAGGAGCTGAACAGGGTCATTTTGTAGAAAATCTATTTGACCTACATTGACAAGTACCTTATAGAACTGAGGAGTCCTTTCAGTAAGATCATCTTTAATAATTTGGTATAAATCTCAAACTTATTTTAGCCCAGGTTTTTCTCTACTGACAGCAGGGCATACTGAACAAACAATTCAGCACAAAATATGGAAGATTGCATTGAAGTAGAGATAGAAGAAAATGGTATAAGAAACCAATGTGAGTTTTAATTCCATGTGAAGATCTAAATAACCAAATGGAAATTTTTAACCCTATTTTTCAAATTTGTCATATAAGGCAGATGCTTATCTGGCACTACTCTGGAAGAACAAATACCATGATAATATCTTTTGGATGTGTGTGTTCTATGATGTGATCAATCATTTAAATACTTAAAAACTGAGATGCAATTTATATATTTTATGAGGAGTAGTTTTATCCTGGAACTTTTACCTTTGTTGTATATATAATTTTCTTAAATTTATTTGCTGCTCTTGCATAGTTAAAAATGAAGTATAAAGTGTTATTTATAGAACTGATGCTCTGAATAAAAATGTTAGTTCTTTCAAAATGATGTTTTAACAATTCCTACAAAGTGCAAGATCCAGATTTATCTTTATAATTTTAATGAGTCACTTACTAGTGTTAGTACAGTGTATAAACTTGTGTTATACAATGTATAACTGTAAAACTATATACACTAATACAGTTCCTTCTGGTGTTTGGATTATATAATATAAATTAAAACTGTCTAACAATGCCACCCAATAAAGCTGCCTGTAACCTTCCAAACTTCAAGGATTATGGATATCCTATTGAGGATTAAAGGAATGTAGGGATAAAGGCAGCCTCTGCCTTTCTTCCATCCTGCAAAAGACATAGATGGCCATCTAAATATTTTGTGCCTACTCATGAGGAAGAGAGGATCAGGTGCTGCTAGGATACATCATATCCTGGTAAAACTTCATTCTTCTCCCCATTCCTGTAGATCATCCCCCACCCCTGCTGGTATTTCAGCCTTGCAACCATATTTGGCATGGTACTTTCCACACCAGCTGTGAGGATGGAAGAAGGTTTCTCTGAATTTGGAGCCACAGCACTCACCTCAGAATACATTTCTGTGGTCAGGAGCTGGGATTCCAAATGTTCTTACATCCATCTAGACTTGCTCTAGCACAGGGGTCTCAAACTCAACTGACCTGGGGGCCGCTGGAAGTAGAGTCTGGGTGAGGCTGGGCCGCATCAAGTATTCCACCACTGCGGTGGTGGTGGGCTGCTCATCCCACTGCTGGCCCGGGCGCCGCCGGCGCTTTGAAGGCCGCAGGGCCCCTACCCTGTCCCGGCAATTGGCCCATGGGCCACAAGTTTGAGACCCCCGCTCTAGCAGGTTTAGGATTGTGCCCTAAGTGTTATTATTGAAATTAATGAAATAGTTAATAAAAAGGATTTTGATTACTAAAAATGAATGAGTCTAGATAATTTGTAAACTATAAACTGATATGATATAGACTGGTTGAATTTATTTCCATGAACACAAATTTCCATGAACACAAAAATACGATTCTTAATTCAGCACTGAAAACATTCTATGTTTTAAAATATCCTAGTATTTCTTTTTCAGGTTTCTGATCTATCAAAACTTGCATTGCCATGGACTTTTGGAGGGAACCTTGCTAAACAGCCATTGACACTTTTGGACATTTGCTATGGCAAAATAGAAAATATAAATCTTAGATATGTGGTAAGTACTTAATAATACAAGCAGAAATAGTTTTGCTTTCCATAAATGTTTTTTACTTATTGTACCTTCAGATATTTAAAATAATGTCAATGGCATGCTCTTCTTTTCAATTGATAAATGACCTAAATCCCATATGATGAAAGACGTATGCTGCAGAAAAGTTGAATGTTTCTACTTCTTACATTATGTTTACAGTTAAACATAGTTAGTAAATATATATCTGTAGGAGATTAATAACATTTTAATAACACTAACTTAAAATGCAACTCCTTTCCTTATTCCCTTTGGTATTGCCTTGAGGAGGAAGATAACGGGAAGCATCTGCTTTGCTTTAGTTTGCATTTGCACTGTTTTATTGTTATGCTGGCACTGTTAGTATAAAATCTTGTTTATTAAATAATTCGGGATCATAAACTATGGGTAGTGCTAAGCAAGAAATGGATGCTTCTAGTCTTTTCCTTGGGACTGTGCCAGAGGAAGGAAGGGCATGGTAGAGCACATAAGCCCAATGTTATATCTGAAATGGGCCATACGTAAATGTGTTCCATAGGGAATAATTTTGGGACGGAGTTTAGCTGTATAATTCAGAGTTATACACAAAAGTTATTTGTTTTTCGGTGCCAGGCGAAGACCTTTTTATTTAAGCATCATTTTAATTGTTAATATTATGCTTATTTTATTTGGCCAGGGCAACTTATTTTATATTGTTATTTTTTGTATTTTAACCTTATGTTGTGAGCCGCCCTGAGGCTTCCGCGAATGGGGCGGCATAGAAATGTTTTAATAAATAAATAAATAAATAAATGTACACACTTTTGATTGAGAGAAGGAAAAATGTGTTTATTTTAATTTCACATGAAGCACTGTTTTCCACAAGCTTATTTTTGTGAACAGTACAGACAACAACCAACTGTTCTCAGTTGTAGAGAGTGAAGTGTGGAAGTATAAACACTATATGATGGCTGATATGGGCATTTCTAACTTCTGTTGTGTGTCTAGGGTGTGACCTTTAGAATCTGGACTGAAACAAATTGGCAATGACAGCTCCTGATTTTTACTGATCTCACTTGAAAAACACTGCAAATTGTATCTTGGCAGAAGTGGCTGTCTTGATGAATTATTCATTGAACTAACTTCATCACATAGAGCACCTGCTGAGAAAAGCTTGCATTGCATATTAACATACATGCAGTAAGCTTTGCAATTAAAACGCCAATATCAAAACTCCGTTTGCAATGACAATTGTTATTATGTGTCATGCTAAAGGCAATGACAAATATGGCTTTACATTCCTGGAGCATTTCATAATTTTAATTAGTTTTGGAGGAAGGTCACCTTCCCGCACCAGAAAGGAAGCAACATTCAGCCTTTTCTAACGTGTATCTGTAATTCTTGTATTTCCTTTATATTTTAGTTTTCTTCTAGGAATCTGTGTAGCCTTCAGCCCACTGGAAACAACTCTGCAGTAATGAACACATTCACTTGAAATTAAGTTCCATTGTTTGCATGAAAATGTGTGGTGGGGGTGTTTCCACAAGCCATGGTAAAATCTTAATGCTGTGGGTTTCTTGTGTTGTCAAGACCCTGTTCTGAAGTTTCACATTGGTAGAATTAATTTTCTGAAACCATGGAGAGAATCAACAGTTTGTTCTAAGGTTTTCATCTTTCACCATGGCTTCTCTGGTCATCTGGACCTAGGATCACCATTCTACTGTTGTTGGTATGGAAGCACCATAGTGTCCCCTGTCAAGAACAACCATGGAAGTGGTCACATCTGCCTTTTGAACTCTACTGCCCTCAGCTCCCTAGCAACAGCTCATTGCTCACTGTATTCCCATTGGCTGAGTGTTGTGTCTGCTCACCTGTTTACTTTTGATAGCAGGGAGACAGTGCAAAAATGCACAGAGGGAGAAAGGGAGAATTGTAGCTAAACTCTGTATTTTCATTTAATACAAATTCCTTTGGGGGCTGGAACAGCTGGGAAATGCAGCAAACAGGCAGGTACACTTAGGAGGGACAAGGTAGTAACCCACCTCAGGACTTCAGTGAATCAATCAGGAAGAGGCCACTGTGTCCCATAGGCAAGAATGAGGAACGGACAGGGATTTCACATGCAGTGGCTGCTGGGATGCATGGTGAGGCAGGGGAGGCAGAACAGGGAGTGCTGAAACTGTACAGCCTGGGTGACCATGTGATCAGCTGACCAGTAAGGTCAGGTAAAAATCTGTGTTCTGTAGAAACAGCGCAGGGTTGTTTGCTGTGTTATATGAACCCATTCAATGTATTCCAAACTGTTAAGCTCTTTGGGTATGTGGGGTTCGTATAATGGGTCTATATTATGGGTCACAGAGCAGAACCGTCTAGATCTCCTAGCAAGACAGAAAGCAGCAAATACATATTTAAATAAAATGTGATTGAGAGTAAATCCAACAGCATGCTAGCAGATGTCTGCTGACATAATGGGGTTTCTCTCTCTTCCTTGCTGCAGTCCTCTGGACAAAAATCTGCTATGGAGGTTTCTTAGCCCTCTGGAGCAGATTTTGAGGATATGTGCTGGGGGTGAATTGAGGAAAACACTCTCTCCTAATTCCTTTCACAGAAGCAGTTTTGAAAGTGGAATAACACCTTGTTATCCAGCATGAACAGTTTCTCTTACTCCTGCTCAGTTTAAATAACTAACTTATTTTACACAGAGCTTCATAGTTACATTCATATTTTCATATTGACAAATAATATTGTATTACAATATTAATACAGTTTCAAGAATATAGGAGCCATGTGCTTTATTTATTTAGCTGTATGTCTGTATATAACAGCACAATCTCACTGCCTCCAGACTTCATCTGTGTGATCTTGGAATTCTTTAGAGGATGGAGTCTAAAGGCTGAACCCCCTATCCTGAAGTAATGAATGGTTCTCAGGGCAGAAAGGAGTATGTCAGGACACGGGGAAGGGGAAGATATCAGGGCTGAGGGCTTACAGCGATTTTGTTGCTTCCCTAGCTTCCTTCCTTTTTTGGTGCTTTATCTAAATTGCCCAAAACAGTGGTCTAGATAGATGCAGAGCAGAAATTGCTTCACTCTTGCCATTGGATGCTTATAAATCTCCAAGATTTGAGCTCATTTGCTTCTTTGGCAGGAGCAATAAGCAGTTTATATTAAAAAAACACAAAATGCACGTAAAAGTACATACAAAATACAGTATAGCACAAAAATTGCATGCGCACACACATATGCACAAATCCATTCCAAAGAGGGGTAATCTATCAGATGAACAATAAATATATGCACAATAATTACTTCTGGGAATTAACTATTTAGCAGTAGATAGCATATGAACTCCAGAACGGAATTTATCGGTTCATATATCACAAATGAGTCTAAGCATAACCAGGCAGAAAACAAAATTAATATTGTAGACATCGATGCACATGATTTGAATGGTAGGGAAAATAGCTCAAAATTTCTCTCAGTGTCTATATCAAGAGTTTCTATGGTAGAAGAATAATCAGCAGAAGACTAGTCCATAGATGTGCATAGTCAGTATGATCTTGACTGGTCTGGATTATGGTTTGGGGGAACTTAATAAGATATGGCTAAGCAAATCAGGAATCCAGATTGGAGAGGAGAAAGAGAAAGGGACCAGGAGCATGGAGGATGATGAGGAGATAAAAGAAACTAACAGTGGTTGTTTTCTAGCTACAAAGTGCAGCAGCTAGTGTTTGCGCAGTCACTATGGCAAGAAATGAGAACGGTATGTTTGGAGTAACTGCACCTTACATGCCAACAGTTTCCTCTTGTCTTTCCTCCATGAATCCAACAGAGGCCTTTGTTCCTGACCACTTGTGCCTCAGTCAACTCCTGTGTAGAACTTGGCTTACCACCTTCTGTTCAGAGAAGGTAAAAAGGGCAAGAGAATGGGGGCTTGGCCAGAATGCTTCATGCCAGGGCTGCATTACTGTGGCTGGGTTTCCATCTGAAGACAGGGTTAGAAAGCCCAGGGGTTGTCCTGGAATCAATACTTCTGGAATTAAAGCAAAATGAAAGCAGGTAGATTGCTATTTCAGCTGGAGTGGGGACCAGGTAGCAAGAATGTATATTCTAGCTAGAAGGGTTGAAAAGGCTCAGACAGAATCCCAGGTTCCATAGCTTAAAGTGATTTTATGGTGGGAGCAAGATCTGACAGACCAAGTCAGCAGCACTGGGCATGTCATGCAACTTAGAGACATAGGGTTCCAAACTTTTTAGGAAGCCAAGAATCAGTGCAGTGGCAAATTCAACACTATCTTTTTGATGTGGTAGTGCTAAGGAGTGAGAAGCCTGTCTTAGCACCACACTTATCACAAAGCAACACCTTGCAGGTATGCAACTCTGCCTTAGATACCAAGTTTTTGATTACTGCACCCAATCTAAATCTGAGGCACATATCCTCAGATGGCTTGAGTGAGTCCTAGAACTGAATTGCTTTGTTAAGTACATGAGCAGATGCTAATGACCTTATTGAACACTTTCTTGCTCAAATGGTTCACTTATTTCAGCTTGAAAAGCTGCCTCAGGCTTGCCTTCACACCAGGCGCTAGGCTGGGTCTTTTAAAGTGACAACATAAAATCCAAGGGCAGAGTGTCTTCACACCACACAGGCTGCCAGCTGTAATATTGTATGGAGAGTGTTTTTTCTGAGTAGTGTATCAAGACCTTTTCAGGATTTACATCTTGCTGCTCTTCAAGGGTAGATATTTGGTTGTTCATTTTATCTCTCAGATATGCTTTCATCTTCATCAAGACTTAGGTCAAATTCTCCTGCACTCATGATGCAGCCTAATGCTAATTGCTTCAAGATTTCTCTAAGTCTGGGTTTTGTGTAAATTTAAGCCAGAAAGTACAGTCCCCAAGCAACTAACATTTTTAGTCTTCACTTCGTAATATTTTGCTTTTAGTTTCTCCTTTTCTTAGTACATTACTTCATCAAAGATTGCCACACTCTTGTCCCCTGATTCTTAT